TGTTTTTATTTTAATAACTTAATTGTCAAATTAAATATTTTATATTTTAAAAAAATAACTTAAATTTAATTGAATTTAATACTAAAATTAATAATAATAATAATTAAATTAATAATTTAATTATTTAATACTAAAAAATTAAATGTTTAAATTTATAACATAAATTAAAATCATTTATATACAATTTTATAATTATTTATTTTATTAAATTAATTTAAATAATTTAATAATTTATTTTTAAATTAAATTAACTAATTTAATAATTTATTGTTAAATTAAATTATATTTCTTTTATCTTTAAAAAAAATTAACTTTAAAAATAATTGATTATTACTTTTAATATAGAGCGGTTATAAGTTAAATTAAAAAAAAGTAACAATATTATAACGATTTTAAGTGAAGGCTAGATGGTAGATTGCTGAAGCATAAGAGCGTGCAGAGAGGAAGGGGGCGGGTTCGAACCCCGCCAAAGGCAGATATCATGCGTAGGCCCTGTTCGGGCGGCCTGCCCACGTGTGCGTGCGCGCCTGGGCTCGCTGCCCCTGTGCGGGTTGGGCTGGGTTGCTTGTGCTGAGCATAATTTGGTTTATTTTTTTTTTAATTTTTCTTGAACTTCCGGCGCAAAAAAAAATCCCCCGAAAATATGTTTCCTGCGGAAAATCCGCCGGTAATATGCCGGAAATGTTTTCGGCGAATTATTTTGCGCCGGAATGCCTTTTTCGACGCTCGTCAAACCGGCGAAAATATTTCCGTCGGAAATCCGTCGGAAATTAGCATTTCCGACGGATTTTGGCCAATTTTCCGGCGAAAATGTTTGCCGGAAAATGACATTTTTCATGTAGAGAGAGAGAGAGAGAGAAGTTGTCTTATTGGAAAGAGAGAATTGAGGGGTAGAAAGTGCACGAACTTGGGACAAATAAGAGAATAAAAGGGGAAGGAAAGGGGCATCGGATCTTGCCCTAATTCCAATCGATCAATGAATTATTAACAAAATTTTCATTGTAATTATTTATGAGAAAAAATTCATTAGTAATGTTTTAAAATCCATCGTAAAAGTTAATAATGAATTTTCATTAGTAAGTTTGTCGAGGCTTGGGATGTGGTGGAAACCATGCTTTATCTTGCCAAATGCCAACGATGAGTCCAAGTATGTGAGCGGGCATAAGCTTGTAATTGATTTGGGTGTCACAACCTCTACTAATTAATTTCAATAGTTTTTTAAGAATTTGACTGAAAGGAGGACCGGAGATTGAGCTTAAATTGTTGATCAGTTATAATTTGTTAAGCAAGATGCAGGTACATTTTGTAGGAGAAATTATTCTGTGCGGACATTGGACGGTCCAGAAAGGAACTAGAATGAGCCACGTCAACCAGCATTGAGCACCGAGCAAAAAAGTGACGTGACACGTTCTGGTTTGTCTCCAAACACTGTTCGGTATCCACACAATAATTTTTTTGTTTTACAGTGAGGGAATTAACTAGATTTTTCTATTATGAGACTAATTATTATTTTAAAAAGTAATGTACTTTTTAATATTATCTTATATTTAATATTATACATTTTTAGATAATAATTAGATTTTTTAAACTATCTATGCTGGTCCTAAGCCCGGATGAAAAATTTAAAATAATTATTTTAGCTCCCCCCCCTCCAAAAATTCTCTGGTTCCGCCACTATTTGTTGCTAAATTTATTAGGAAATTGATTTATTGGAAATTTATGACTTAGATTTTCTTAATTGATTTCAAATTCTTTCTTATCTTTAAAAATTCTAAATAAAACAATTTCAATCAAACATTAATGAAATAAATTGCAACAAAAATATGTCCTGACTCTCTCTCTCTCTCTAATATTTTACTATCTTCCCTAAGCCACCAATTTGACTCCTTCCAACTCCCGAAAATTAACACCATCCTAAAACTCTCCTCCTCCTACATATAAATACCCAGTCCCACCCTCTGCAGCCACACGCCTACTTCTTCTTCTTCTTCTTCTTCTTCTTCTTCTTCTTCTTCTTCTCTCTCTCTCTCCCTAACCAAATCAAATAACTCATTCAAGCCATTCATGGCCTCCACCAACCTCAAACTCTTCGGCTTCAACTTAACCAACGAAGAACCCTCCAGCTCCACCATAACAGCCACCTCCTCCACCACCGACCAAAAGAAATACGAATGCCAATACTGCTTCAGAGAGTTCATCAACTCCCAAGCCCTCGGCGGTCACCAGAACGCCCATAAGAAAGAAAGACAAGAGCACAAACGCAGCTTAGCCGCCGCCGCCTTAGCTAATTATAACAACACTATTCTCTCCGCCTTCTTCTCTTCTTCACAATTTTCTCCACCTGATCACGTACCCTTCAATGTGTCCTATGGCTCCGGAGCACGCGCCGCTCCCTATAGAAATGATATCGTGGTGGCGTTCGGTGCGGACGGATATAGTGGCCACGTGGCCGGAGGCCGGAAGGACAATTTTAGTGGGCCCGATGAGGTCTGTGGGGTCGACTTACACCTCAGCCTTGCTCCAGCTGGCTCGCCAGCCTGATTATTGGAGATGAAGAGAGGCTTTATTTCTGAATAAAAATTGTATCACAGTATTAATTCTGATGAAATTTGTATCAGAATTATAGGATAAATTTTTTTTTTTTTTTTTCAGATGAAATATATTTTTTTAAAATTATGAGCAATAAATCACAAAAAGGACCACTTGAATTAGTGATATTAGAGAAAAAACCTCCATATATATATCCTTTTATTGTATTTCAATTTAAATTTCTTGTAATTTTGAGTATTTATCTACTAATTTGGATATTTTGCTTATTTCAAATCTAAAGAGAATAAGAGTATCTACACATAAACTAATTGCATTAAAATGAAAATAAAATAAAATATATAAATTTTGAAAATAAATTAAAAGTCCAAAAACAAAAACAAAATTAGTTTTTTTCTTAATACAAGTTATCTCTTTTTTTTTATGCTTATTTTGAGCTTTCATTTTTCATATATATTTATATATAATACTTTTGATAATAATAAGAAAATATCATAATAAAAATGATGCTATATATGATTTTCTAGATGTTATATAGCATGTGTTATTATTGGCTCACTAATAATGTAATTAACAAGTTTTGAGATATCATACAATAATTTGCTAAGTGATTTACATGTTGACTATAAAGTAGTAATCATGATAAAGATGATTAGCATAGTGTGAGTTAGAAAGCTTATGAGTTTTTTTACTAACTTTTTGATTTAAGAATAAACAAGAATTTAAAACTTGATTAATTAGTTATCATAATTAATTATAAATTATATTTTTATTTATATTTAAAAAGTTATTTTCTTGCTAGAGTTCTTGAGACATGTTTATTTAATTTGTTTAATTAAGGTTTAGATTTTTATCTTCAACACTGATGAATGTTTCTTAGATAATATAGAAGGAAAGCTGTAGAAGTAGCTTAAGTGCTAGGTCTCCTTAAAAAAAAAAGGATAAGAATTAATTAAAATTAAAATGATCATCATTCTAAAAACTTAAAATAAAAATATGAAGCCAATTATTTTCATCTATCTTAGAAAATACAAATAATGAAAAAATGTTATCAATATAATTAATAATATTATTTGAATAAACCGTTCATCTGAGTCAATGACAATATGATATATTCTTTGTTTATACAAAAATATTTAAATCAATCTTCCTCTGATCTCTCATTAAATTTATTTTCTTCTCAAACCTTCATTCAATTTTTAATGCAGTTTTTGTTCCTAAATGTTTTATGTAGTTAATTAAGATCATTAGCTTTATATATTAGCTTTAAAACAAGACTAAGTGTATGTTTATGTGGAGCCATTAGAATTTCTTGGACTTGAGCTTTATTTGGGACAACTTTTTACTGCTTTATAAAGCAGCTTTTTAGTACTATATATATATATATATATATTAAAAAGATGCTTTATAAAGCAATACGAAAGATGTCTCAAATGAAGTCTTATTCTCAATTTTCACATAATATTACACACTCTATATAGTTCTATATTATGTTTGCCTCCAACTCAATCAAAATAGCATTAGGGCTCATATGAGGAAGCTAAAACAAGTAAATGCCACATTCATTAAATATGAGGTATTTATTGGCCTTTTAAAAAACTATATGTATGTAACAATGAATACAATGAAAAAATACCTAATTAAATTTATTAGCTCAAAAAAAAAGGTCAACATTAAAGAGAGTCACTACTCAAGAAAGTCCTCATTTTTTTTATTATAGCTATCTTAAATGTTAATAATTCAGCACAATCAAAGTTGGTCAATTTTTCAACTTAGGCAAAGATTAGTCAACCCAAATTTTATCTCAATTAATACGAATTTTAATTGAGTGAAAATTAAGCAAAAAAACTCATTAAATTACTCATAATCATGATTACCTAATTTAATATTAGCCTAATCAAATACCAATAAGCCCAAACTCTATCAAATTGCGATCATTTTAAATATTTAAATATTCAATATCGTTATGTCTACAATCAATTTGGATCAAATAAGGGATCTATTTCGAAAAACTTTACACTATATTTGTTTTTCAAATGGCAATCATTTTGATATTGGATTAGCAGCTTTTTATGTCCTTTTAGCAGCTAGTTTAGGGTTTAGGCTTCATTTGGGACGGCTTTTTTATTGCTTCTGAAAACGGTGTTTTAGTACAAAAATTAAAAAATTTGTACTACAACTCCGTTTTAAAAAGCAATTAAAAAGCCGTCCCAAACGAAGCCTTAGTTTTAACTATTTTGCTTTTCAAACTGTCGTCGCACTTCTATTTGGCTACAAGCTGCCACTTTTTTTTTTAAGTGACTTTTTTAAAACTGTGTTAAAGTGTGTTAGTAATGAGAAAATTGTTGTTCGACCTGCAAAAAAAAAAAATTCTAATTTTATAAATAAATGTAGCCACCTCAAATAATTCGAAGTTTACTTTGATGAATTTACCAACATGTCCTTGATCATTTGCAAAATTACCTATAAAATTAAAAATTTCATAAAAAAATGTATGAGGACAAATTCCATTTCCAAGTGTACACAATTAATGCAAATCCAAAATCCTAGGTTAATAAACTAAGAATTTCAAAGCTCGATCACAACAATGCAGCTAGATCACAACAATGCAGCTAGTATTATAGTTTTGTACATTGAAAGCTGGGCAATAATATTGAAAGAAAAAAAATGTCAACCAAGTGGTTTGTTGGATGAATTGTAGTTTTTCAAAGGGTGAAAATGCAAAATAGCTTTGGTAGTATAAAAAATAATAGGTCAAACTAAAAGATATATAGTATAAGTATATAACTAAATTAGCTCAAGGATTGATGAGGAAGAATTCTTCAAACATGTAACAAAAGATAACGGCAATTGATCTGGTCCTTTATGGTAATTTCCCGCATTTAGCCATATGACAAACAAGAGGCGCCATAAGACATGCATTGAAGAATAAAAAAACATTTAAGCAAAAACAAGCACTTGCACTCTTGCTTGGTCATATACTTAATTATGCTATGGCTTTTAGGGCATCACTTGAAAAGAAGGAAACAAAAAAATGTTAAATGAGCTTATTTTTAAGGAAGTTATTGAGATCCCAATATAATGTAAGAAAATACATTTCTTCTTATTGATATAGATAAAATAGGATATATATACTCTATTAATTAAATATATGTAAGAAAAGTAGGATAAATATTGGGAGATCATAAAATGTTTTGTTTGATCCCATCAACGCATTCGAACAATGTATCGCAAGACCACAACTTCCTAAAGTGCTTCATCTACTACATCATAACGTGCCTGCTCCACTTTCTCTACAATACCACCTGTCAATAACAAACTCTGCTACAACCAATTAACCGTCTAATACAACTTTACACATATTCACTATCACATATTTTGTATTGTGTGGTTAAGTTGAATCAAAAAATCGTTATTCTTCTCTCCTATGTTCTTTCTTTTCTAACATTCTCTGAAGGTTTTCTTATATGATATCAGAGTAATCCTACGTCATCGCTTCCACTTCTCTATACTAATTACGGAACAAGACTCTTCTTCTCCAACCTTACCAGCCTACTCCTTATCCGCATCCATGGCTGATTTTACTATACCTCCACCCCAGGGGCGAATCCAACTTCTTTTTTCAGGGTGGATTTTTTTTTTTTTTTTTGTGGGGGATGGGCAAAGACGCTTATGATTGCATGCTGAAATATGTACATATTTGTGCTTTTGTTTTTTGTTTTTTTTTTTTGTGTTTTTTTTTTTTGAAATTTTTTTTTTTTTTAAAGGGAGAGGGGGGCCCCCCCCCCCCCCCCCCTCCCCTTCAACAAATGGAGGATCCGCCGATGCTCCACCCTTAAAGATGTCTAACCTCAAACTCATTGTCAATATCCAACTTACTGATGAGAACTATGCAATATGGCGTCTCAAGATTCACAAACTATTCTCAACAAATGGTTTTGAAGGGTACCTCACTGGAAAACAAGTCTGCCCACCTCAACTCCACTACTCCAGTTTCTACCTCACCGTATGCACCACCGGCTCAAACATCTACTCATCCTATGCAAACTCTTCTTCGCACTGGTCATCTAAAACCATAACCTATATTTGATCTTCTTTCCCTCCCACAACTTAATTCCACACCTACTTACTATAGTCATGCTACCACACAAGCCCATTGGCATACTTCTATGTCAAACCTAGTCCCTTACGCTACAACCATCGAACACCCCACTTATTGTATGTCAATGGACATACCGAACTAAGTTTCCTCCATATGGAAGATTTGATCATCACAAAGCTCATCTAGTTGCACAGGGATTCAATCAACAATATGAAATATACTCTAAAGAAATGTTTAGTCTAGTCGCTAAAATGCCAACAATTTGTGTATTTCTTATTATTGCTCTTCCTTGGAACTGACAAACAATCCAACTAAATGTTGTTAATGCTTTTTTATATGGTGAGCTTCATGAAGAGGTATATATGCAGCAACAACAGGGATTTATTGATGCCCAACTTCCACATCATGTATGCCTCCTTTATAAATTTATTTATGGCCTCAAACTAGCTCCCCACTAGTGGTTCACCAAGCTCACCTTATTTCTACTCAACTTCAGTCTTCAGCTCAGCAAGTCAGATCCTAGTCTCCTTACCTACAACCAATTAAATTTCCAACTATACCTCTTGATATATGTGGATGATCTGTTACTAACTGGGAACAATTCCAATGCGATTGTTTTCCTTGAAACAACTTGGTCTAGTTGAGTTGTTCCTTGGGATACATGTCAAACGCACATCCACTAGATTGTTTCTTAATCAATCCCATTATTCCAGAGATATTCTTTTTGCATCCAATTTTACTTCCTACAAACCAACACTTACACCCATTTCTCTAAAATCATCTCAATCACATCTAACATATGAACCCTATAGCAAACCCACCCACTTTTGTTAGCTTGCCAGTTCTTTATAGTATTTGACCATCACTCGCCTTGATATTGCATATTCTACAA